ACAAAGGGGGTGAATTCTCTGCTGTTATCATTGTTATATTTTACATTAAGGCTTGTTAGCTTGGAGAAATCAATACGAAGAGTGCAGCAAGCATTATAGATATTCTGACCATCTAGAGCCTATGGAGATGAAAAAAAATTGAGGCTATGAAATGCTTCCAGGATTTTTTGTAATCTAGATCACATAAATACAAGCAAAGTTGTAGTGTGGACATATACTCTGGTTGACGCAAAGGGGCAAATGAGTTCACATTTTCAATTGTGTGTGTGTGTGTGTGTGTGTGTGTTTTCCAGCATAACTCTGGAAGGCCTTAAACAATTTCAACCAAACTTGCTACACAGATGACTTACTCTCTGGAAAAATATTGTGGGGGTAAGACACCTCTAACACCTCTCGGGGTGTGTGTTCTGTTAAGATACAGCCTGTTGTGCCGTATTGCCATATTAGCTTCTACTGTACAGTGCAGTGGAGTTGCCATGGTAATGGCTTCACAGTACTCCACAAGGGGGTTCCTCTGGTAAGGGGGAAAATCCAACATTAGAAATTAACGTTTGGTCCGCACATTTCTCCCCTATAAATATCAGGTTATTCGGTTATCAGCTAGTAAACAATAAAGGAACCATATTGCCAGAATTTTGTAACTCTTGTTAAACTTAAATTATACGTATAACGACAAACGTCATTTTGAAATTGCATTTCTTTGAGACTACACAACATGCTTATGCTGCATCACTCATGCTATCAAATTAGTAAAATATAGCTACCAAATGGTGCACAGCTCTATTAGATGATTTGAAAGATTTGAATAATTAACCAAATAGCCTTCGTGGAGCACCTGTTTAGAACTTGTAGAGCAGTTCTGAAATTTTTTTACTATCACTCTTAAAGGCTTACCAGAATAATCTTTCAAAACTGGAACATTAGCATCTGGCTTTTATTTACAGCAGTAGCAGAGTAAAGGGGGGGGGGGTGGAAGAAAATTGTAGGCACCTCTGATAGACAATAAAATAGGCCTTTTTGGAAAGCCGCATTCTGCACACTGGCCTACCAACATTTAAATGAAGCATATTTATAATGTACAATTATGTCCATCACAAATTCTTATGCAGTCTCTGAATTTCAAAGTAATATATGATACTGTAATGCAAAGAAATAACTGTATAAAATGATTATTGCTCTGGTGTGGGCTGCAAACATTATTTCTGTACTGTAAAATTGCAGCATAATACGTGTGTAATATAGCACCAGAAAAATAAGGCATTTTATATGCAGTAAACTGTTACAATGCAAACATATTAGAAATCTATTCACAAAGTTACCATTTTGGCATACTGTGCGTTCAAAGGGTCAGCATATTGAAGCAAGGCCTGAAATTGATTATTCTTTGTAAAAGTTATGATCTTCAGAACTGTTCCAAACTTGGAGAAGATCTAAATAAAAAGTTCAAACAGTCAATTCATGCATTAATACTTTATTGGGAATTTGAGATATGATCATTTCCAACAATCTAAATTTACAGGCATGGGAATTTTTATTATAATTTGGAAGTGTAGTACTCTGAACATTGTATTAATGTTAATGTTACACACTGGGGGTTATAACAAATTTTATAAGTGAAATAGTTCTCTCTATAAAAACAAAAATAATAAAGACTGATTTTTCTTCAATATGTACAAATTATAATTAAACATAATTTAATTAAACTGGCCAGTTACATTACTGTTTTTGCTGCAAGGAAAATATCACCTAAGCTTGAAAGGCTTTCCCCCCCAATATTTAATGTAAATAAGGTAAATAATCACAATAAAGAAACTAAGACTAAACAGTACCACAGTTGTCACATTATGCACAAATGACAAAACAAGGCTGCATAAAGCCTTTGAAAGGGTTGCTTTGCAACACAAAACATAGCATCTCTCTTTGAACTGCTAAGGCAGCTGTGTCCTTTGCAAGGCTTATGCAGGTGTTTTGGAAGTTATTCCTAGCTGTTTCCATATGTATGTGTGTGGATATCTGTTGGGCTTCATGGGAGGGGAAAAGTAGCTTTTCTTTTTGAAAAGCAACAAAACAAAATGGCTGTGTGTACACAAACAGGCAGAGATAGCCAGAAATGGCTTTCAAGAAAGCCATGCCACCCTTGCAAAAGACATGGCTGCTTTCATAATCCAAAGAGAGGTGTTATGTTTGCAACCTGGCCATTCAAAAGCTTTCCAACACCATAAGAAGCCACATTAATACAGTATTGGGATTAAATGTACCATAAAGCTATGATCTAACAAAATGTATTCATTTCCGTTTCTTCTTTCAATTCTACGGAATCTTTATTATGTGTTTATTGTCCTCCCTGACTTGAATTCATATTCATAAGCAAATATTTAAGATGGAGTGTACAAGAAATAGAGAAGAAATAGGTATGCATGATCCTGCTGGCTGGATCACTAGTGCTGTCTGTGGTACTGTTACAGCATGCAAGTTATCCTACAGTAAATATTTGGTTTTTATTACTTTTTTATTTGAATTAAGAAGAAAGACAATCATTCCGGACTTAAGATATTTGGCAAAGGGGAAAACACAACTGATAGCCATACTTTAATGCTAAATATATCCAAATAAATAATTATAACAAAAACATTTGTTTATACCTGACATAGCACTTCTAGAGTAACAGGGTAGAAGAGATTTTCCACAATAATTCGAAGAACCGAACTCTGACCAGGAGGCAGCCCACTCTCAGTAATTGGAGCACCTGTGAGGGCCATGCCTCCAGACTGCATAGCATTCACTGCTTGCAATGCAGCTTGAGTTCTCTGAGAGGAAGATGAAATTTTGATATATCTATTACATATGTTAAAAACATTACATACAGATTATGCTCAGAACAAAATGCTACAGGAATCAGTAGGTCTCCAGTGGATAGTCTTATGCTTCCTTTTTTCTACCTCAGCAATAGTGCAGATTGCTAATTTTTCATTCTGCTGCATCTCAAGTTTTATAGAAACATCTAAAACATGTTGTAAACTTTTGGAATAATTGAATAGCTATATAAGTTAAAGTAAATCTACTTCCATATTGTTGTTTCTTTTAAAAATACTAACCAAAAACAAGATAAGATTCGCTCAAAGGTTTATTCAAGTGTGCCCCAACAGCACCATTCTCCTACATTCTCATCAACAAAACACAAGGAAGTCATAAGAAAAATGGATACAGATGATAAGAGCTGCTGTTGTAGCTAAGAAATAGACTTGTCAGAATCCTGCTAGATACACTGTTCCATTTCCATAATGAATTCCAAGCATCATCTTGACGTCGCTATAGTGGATGCATCTTAGAGACTGCTATGATCCACCATCTTCAATTGGTTTCTTGCCAAAAACACTTGCTGCTATAAGACAATTACTCCAGCAGAGCATGAATTTCAAGGCTATCTCAAACTCCAAATTCCATTTTCTCTTGAACTGATGGGATACAAGGACAAATAACAAAACTCCCTTCAGCAGAATAGCTTTAACTATGCTTCATCATATTTCCTGAAAATATAGAACTTCATTGTTCATCGGATTTTTTTCACCATAGCCAAGTTACAAATTTTATCTAAAGTTTAATAAGAATAAATTGTTCCCGAACAGAAACATATGCAAAGCTCCCTGCTGAAATTGGAAGTATGATTCCACATTATTCTGTCATGGTTCCTCTAGCAGTTCCCAATACCAATTATGCAATATTCTTGTTTCTCAAAGTATAACATAACAGAGGCTTAATGGGTGTAACACACAGCTAGTCCTCAACATAACCAAGGCTTCTGTTGCTAATAAGGCAGTTAAGTGAGTTTTGCCCCATTTTATGACTTTCTTCGCCACAATTGTTAAGAGAATCACTGCAGTTGTTAAGCGAATCACATGGTCATTAAGCAAATCTGGTCTCTCCCACATTGACTTTGCTGGTCAAAAACTAGCTAGGGAGATTACAAATGGTGATCCCATGACCATGGAACAATGGAACTCTCATAAATACAAGCCAATTGCCAAGTCCCCAAATTTTGATTGCATGACCACTGGGATGCTACAATGGTCGCAAGTGTGAAAAACGGTCATATATCACATTTTTCAGTGCTGTTGTGAATTTGTTCACTAAACAAATGGTTGTAAATCAAGGAGTACCTGTAGTTAAGGTATTGGGGTGACTGTCAGCGACATCACCCACATCTTTCTCTCTCAACCCAACCAACTACCTCCTAGTAAAGTTGTTGTGGGAAATTTAATAGGAGGGAGCACTTTACATGCCACCTTAAGCTCCAGAATGAAAAGTGGGATAGTATTCTAACAAATGAACAAAATATATACATAAAAGATCTACAGAGCGAAGAGGACAGAATTCTTAAGAATACTATTAGGACGTTCACCCTTGAATTGAAAGAAAATTGTTTTCACTGTTTAACACTTTAAGTCTTTACAGTTTGTCTGTTTGCGGAGTTGAATAGATATGTCCATGCAGTTTGCTTTTAATAAGTATGTGACTGAGGCAATTGGGAGTACAGCTGTTTTGAATGCAAAGATGATCATCTACATATAGGAACTGTATACTATGGAGATGTTCTGGATCACATACATACATTTCTTATAGGAAACTGATTAACGTTTTATTCTCAGACCAGCTACAATAGAATAACACTTCTCCTGATGCAGGTTTATTCCCAGATAGCCTTACTGGGATTTGAACTTGGGCTATTTTACAAGTTAGGCAATTATAATAACCTCTAAGATGAAGTGGCCATAATAATAGTAATAATAATAAAAAGTGGGTATTGGGTGGAAATGATGTAACATGCATGACTTTATTATCACACTAATGCTACAAATTATTACTTGCATCAGAAATTAGAATGCACGTATTCAATGGCAACATTTGTATGATAATGTCATGTTTGTATGTTGTCATTCCAATAGCACTCCAGTTTGCTGAGACTGAATTTCAAGGTCATGTACTTTACTCAGAGGTAGCATACTTACAGCATGGTTTGGTAGATTGTCAGTCTTAAGTTCTCTATGATTGGAATACTGAATATAAACAGGCTGACTGCGAAGGTGAGGAGTAACAGGAGTGTAGTAGTTCACCATAGTAACAGCAGCTTCTTCTGAAGCCATTTCTAGAAAAGCCTGAAATAAATACAGAGAAATGTCTTGACAGGAAAACCACTACCCTATCTTGGCAAATATGTAATACATATATGTGCCATCTGCAGTACTGTTATGTATGATACTTTTTTGCTTTAAGATACCAGAAATCAAATTTATTTATTTATTTATTTATTTATTAACAGCAGTATCAGCCTCTGCTTTGCTACTGCTTCGGCTGCCTTTGAAACGGGGAGGGGGGGCATGGTATTTGGGAGAGGAATCATTGTTGTGCTGGAGGAAGTTTCTAGACACTGAACTGACAACCTTACTGTGCATGTGGAGGAGGAGTGTTTCCCGCCAAGGCCAACGGTCCATCCTGGTGATGCCTTTCGAAGTTATCTCACACCTGACATTTGGGAGAATTATGATTGGACTGTGCACGGGATGCCAAGGGGAGGGGAATGAATTATACAATATATTATTCGCTTTCACGCCTAATTAACCAGACTTAGCTTAGCTTCGCATCTGTTCATTTATAATTAGTAAAAGTACACTTGATTTCAACAAATGGAGTCTAGTGGTTTTCTTTCCTGATTATTGAATGAAGAAAGGCTTAATAAAACTTATAAAGTAGCAAAAACTACAATAGTATTACTACCCTTTTAAAATGTAATTGCCTAAAAAAAGGTTTGGAGGTGGGGGCTGTTGGAGCTGGGAGTCTGACTTTGAGTCAGTGTTGATTTCTGATGACTACTGAATTAGTTCCTGCAGTTTTCAGAGGTAGTTTGCCATTGCCTCTTTTCTAGGGCTGGCAAATAGGGGTTGGCCCTAAGTCACGCAGCTGGTTGCTGTCTAAGGCAGAACCGGAACGTATAGTTTTCATGTTTCTAGCCTGGTGCTTTAATCACTACACCAAACTGACTCTCAGTTCTTTATTAGTGGTGTAAATGATAAAGCTGTAAAACCTGACCAAGCCAATAGCTGATTATGCCAAGTGCACATCTAGCAAACTGATGTCGCCACATAGCCTGTTTTTATGGAAATACACATTTATATAACTACTAGTAAATCCAGTCTGCTTTCATTCCTCAATCTTAAATGCATAATATGCTGCAAAAGGGCTTTGCCAAAAACTAATGGATGTTTTTAAAAAAAAAAAAATTCAAAATGGTAAAACAACAACAGAAATGATCTGGCAAAACTTTTTAAATTTGCTTTTATATTTTAAATACAAGAAACCTAGATTTCTTTTAAGAAATACTGAACTGATGGTGTCCATGTTTTTCATCTACTGTAGACCGGAAGAAAGAATAACAGATTAAAGATTAAACCAATCAAATATCATGTGACATCTAAATCAGGCAATCTGAGATTTGTTCAATGCTAAGCTTTGGAGGGCATGAATTGTATGAAGCCATGTTTTCTCATTTTGTATGAAATCTACCCGATATTTTATACATTCTAATTAAGATCTTTCAAAATACATTTGTACAAAATACAAAATGTACAAAATACATTTTGTAATTATTCCAGTAGAATGCCTCAAATCATGAATTGTGGTATTTTTATTTTAGTTTGAATATTTTAAATACAATTACCGTATTTTTCAGAGTATAAGATGCTCCGAAGTATAAGACACATCTAGATTTTGGGGAGGAAAACAAGGGGAAAATATCTGCTTCTGCCTCCCAGCAATTTGCCTCCTTGCAACAAACAGTACAGACAATATATACTGTTTGTAATGTTATATTTCAGACTATACTTGTACAGATGCTATTAAAATTGATGTGCTTTCTGGAAGTAGTTATTCTCTGCTATTTAAAAGAATAGCACTTTTTAAAACAATAGCACTGGGCCTCTTCAGATCAAGCATTTATTTTAAAAAGCTTCTTCATTTTGTTAAGTTGTCTAGAATAATAATAATAAAGCAGTCTTTAAAAAATAAATCTAATAATTTGAACATTCTATAGGCATTTATATTTGTTGACTTACCTCCTTGCAGCAAACAGCCTGATTAGCACAAGGAAAAAAAATCTACCTCTACCTCCCAGCAATTTGTCTCCTGGAGCAAACAGCAGGTTTTACTTTCAATTTCTCCAAATCATCAGCTGTTTCAGGCTGCAGGGCTTATTGAAGCCTCTGCAACCCCCCCCCCTTTGCTGCAAAGAGGTAAATTGCTGGGAGGCAGAGGCCAAAGGGTTGGGGCCGGTGGATGGGTGGGGCTACATTCAGTGTATAAGATGCACCCAAATTTTCACCCTCTTTTAGGGAGGAAAATGGTGTGTCTTGTACTCCGAAAAAAACAGTAAATAGTTTGTGAAGTTGGTAGCTGTTAACTTTTAGCAACTAAAATGTTTACAAATTAGACTTAAAAAGCACGTAATAGTTTTAATGGAACTGTGTTTCAGAAAAATAAACTTAATAGGGTCATTTGTAGCAGCTGCTAAATTCTGATACCTTCTTAGATTAGCTTTTGGCCTAATTTGGAATTAGATTTAAAGTTCTCATTTATTTGATTGGCTACAGCAGTGTTTCTCAACCTTGGCATCTTTAAAACATGTGAACTTCAGAATTTCCTCAGCATGCCAGGGGGGAATTCTGAAAGTTGAAATCCACATCTTACTAAGTTGCCAAGGTTGAAAAACACTGGGCTAGAGTATATAATACTATTTTTAAATCAAATAATTATGCCAAAACTGACACCTTTTCACAAAATCAAAACGAATGTTTGGGTGTAAATCAGGATCCAGTCTCCTCCAAATAAATAAGGCAGTGTGAAGTATATGAAATATTTGTTCTCAAGGCATTGGTGAAGTTGCCCCTTTTCAAACATTAAAGGAACTAAATCTTTTAGCAGTTTTGCATGGAAGTTTTACTGAGTTGCCTGAAACTACCATCAAATTGAAGCAGCTGTGCACTCTACACAAAGTGCATGTACTAAGAGCCAATAAGAAACTTTAAGGTACCACAGAGCTTTCCAAACAATGCAACTGCTTCAATGCTTTGAAAAAAGATCGTTCAATATTATTTGCAAAGCATCTTTTCATTTGCAAAGCACCTTCACCACCCCTGTACTATGTGTTCCACATAATGGCCTTACAGTTGCTTAATGACTGCAATGAGGAGAACCAGGATTGCAGTGATTCAGCAAAGCCACCGTGTGGGTGCCTTGCTTAATTACCGAAACAACTTACAACCAAAATTCTGGCCTCAAGTATGCCTGTAAGTCAAAGACTACTTAAAGACAGGAACCAGGTTACCTGAGGAATGCCTTCTCACAGTTATCTCTATATGCCCAATCCAGTCTGGCAAGATAGGCATGCTCCAAATCCCACCAGCCAAGGAATGACAGCTGGCAGGAACCAGGAGGCATGCCTCTCTGCTGTGGTGCCTGCCCTCTGAAACATCCTCTATCCGGATATTAAGAAGGCCCTGACCCTTTTGGCCTTTTTGTAATGCCTTAAAAGCTGCTAATGTGCCCAGATGGGCGGGTCCCAAGTATGCAAAGGGACCTATTTCCTGCTTATGTTAACGTCTGAAGATTGTAATATTTTCCTTGGCTGCTGTGTATTTAATTTTTAGTACTTAGTGATAATTCAGGGTTTTTTATGACTATTTGTTGGCTGGAGTCACTTTTTGAAGATGAGTGACCATACAAATTGAATAAAATAAAATAAAGTAAAAATAGATAAAATTTTAGAAAATGAAGTTTCATTTAGAAATAGAAATTATTTCCCCGTTTTAGGTTAAGAATGTTTAACTTATATCTGAGCCAAAACCTATGTACCACTGATGATGTGATAGTGAAATCTAGTAATTCCAAAGTTTATCAGACAAATTCATCATATATTACACACATTATTTTCTATGGTTGCTTATATGATATAAAACATGCACTTACCTGGCTTTTTCCTTTCAACATCAAGAGATTAGTTACTTTGCCAAAAGGTACACCTAGAGAAATTACTTCTGCTTCAGTGACATCATTTGGAATTTTACGAAGATGAAGAACTCGAGAAGGGGAGCAGGGAGATCTGTCTCCTTTAAATTTCTTGTTGTCATTCCCATTAGCTAAAACATATATACAAAGTGCTTCATCATATAAAGTATACCTAGTACAAAGTGAGATTGCTGTGTGAGCTCCAAAATTTAACATGACTTCAAATTAATTAGAATCAGTAATAGTAACTTGTACTTTATTTGCTTATTAATCTTCTGTTTATTCACCTTTTCTTTTTGCTTTGGTTTAGGAAAAAAGTTAACACAGGAAATTTATAATTCTAGTTATGATCAGTTAAGCTATATGGTGCATTTCACTGATTTTTTTTGTTTTGGCATGTTTGCAAACAGAGACTGAACCAACAGTCAGAAGATATATGAAAGCAGAATCAGATACTAGTAGTCTTCTTCTACAGAAATATTTACAAGTACAGGACCTAGTGATTTGATTGTCTTCTGGGGACTTATACAAAACATAGGGAATGGCAGTGCTAGTAAGGATCAAAGATCTAGAAATTAAGAATGAGAAAACCAAAAATAATTTACTGTGATTAAGCAATGTTATTTATAGCCATTTGCTAAGATATATATACAGTAGTATGACTATGCCAACAGATTAGGATGAGGTTTAGTACATCTTGAAAAAGAATACAATAGCAAGCATTGTCCAGCTTTTGCCAAAAATGCATAATCCAGATCCCTTAGCTGGCACATGCACAGTAATCACAGGTTACCTTTGCAGGAAATAGCTTGCCATTTCTAAAGTCTCCAATTTAAATGAACATGTCTCCATTTGCTACTCAACCTGCCTAGGAAACTGGCTAGCAAATTATAGAGGAATATATACAATAATTGGAAGTTGGAAGTTGGTTTATACATGTGTCTGACAGTATCAGACTAATCTATCCTGGGATCAAACCGGAAACTTTAGAAACCATTTTGTGTCAAATTTTAACATTCCAAATGGTTAACAGAGAGGATTCAAAATGTAATATTTGCTATATGTGAAGATACAAGTGGATCAGACACTTTCCTTTCCCCTTATTTAATTTGCAAGGTTAAAGAAAGACATTTTTCCCAAACCAAGTACATTCAAAATTCTGACAACTTCAGGTCATAAAACTCTCAAAGCAACATTCCATCTACTGGTAATTTCAATTTAGAAAACAGAAAATGAATCCTCACGTCGTAATTGTAGCCTGCACAACCCGTGATCACAGAAACCCATATGTATTTCCCTAGGCTTGTGTGTGCAACAGACATTCCCTTGTGGGAGAGATGCACACTCCGGGTCATGTATAGAGTCTGGTTACCTCTGCTTTTCTGCTGGGAAAAAACCAGAAGCAGAACTGAAGGAAAACACTTAGTCAGGAACCCATGGACTGAGGCTGAATTTGAGGCAGGGTGTTATCATCTCTTTCACAGCTTCTGCTTGAACTGCTGCTTAAAAGCTGCAGTACGTTAAAATAATGAAGCAAGATGAACCTTTTGCTTTAGCAAATTGCTATTTTGGCAGTGATCTAGCTGGAAATTTCAATTAGATTCTTTTCTTTGTGATATTAAGTCATGTTTGGTGTTCACAATTGTGTGTGTGTGTGTGTGAAACCTCTTCCCATTCTTCAGGCTAAGCATGAAGATAAATATTTTATTTATAATCTTTCTGTACGCTGCAATATTAAGCTGCAGTATTTTCCCTCTGAAGGGAGAACATGCCACTTGTATACACCTATTGCTATCTCGGGGTCTGCTGAGAGCACTGTATATGAATATAGTTTTTCTTTCAAGCTGAAAATTGGATCACTGGGATACATATAGCTATGCCGTTTATACCTACCAATATTAATTATTTGCACTTTCATATTTAAAGTTGAAATGGGATGTGTGTGTTACATTTTAGTTCTTTTTTTAAAAAAAATCTTTATTGCTGTTTTCCCAGGAAAGAAATGTGAACTGAAGAATCTAGGCAAATATCTCTATGCGACAGTATTGAAATAATTCTGCTTTGTTTACCTTCTAATAGCCAGAAAGGCACTAAAGGCTGTGGTAGCCCTCTGACTCATATATACTAAGGTTAGGAAGAGGATGCCAGATAAGTGTTCTCTGGAAAGTAGATGGGGAAAGCAGGAACTACTAAGCTGCTATCAGAAACAGGAGATAGAAACAGGATGTGAACATTCAAGAGGGCTTCTGGGAGAGAATGCTTGAGAGTTCAAGCCTTCCACTTACTTACTTACTTACTTACTTACTTACTTACTTATTTATTTATTTGGTTTGTATGCCGCCCACTCTCAAGAGACTCAGGGCGGCTTACAGGTAAAAAAGGAAGGGGGGGACATAAAAAAAAAACATTAAAAATTCCACAACATTCATAACTTAGGATGGGGCTGGATAAATCAACAGCCCCAGGCCTGCCAGAACAGCCAGGTCAGTCGCTTTGCGGAAGGCCGGAAGGGTAGTAAGGGTCCGGATCTCAACAGGGAGATCGTTCCATAGGGCCGGAGCAGCTACAGAGAAGGCCCTCCCCCGGGGAGTCGCCAGCCGACATTGACCGGCAGATGGAATCTGGAGGAGGCCTAGTCTGTGCGATCTTATAGGTCTCTGGGAGGTAACTGGCAGTTGGCGGTCTCTCAGGTAGCCAGGTCCGATACCATGTAGGGTATCACTTTATGGGATCAGCTTTCTGCTACATTAGCCCAGCCAGTTCAATCCATGGTTAACATCTCATAAATTAAGGAACTGTGATATGTTCCTCTTGTAAAACAAAAGAACAAGCTACAGTTTCATATTTTGAATTACCTCAAGAAAACATGCCACAGTGTCCGGTTCATATGATGGAATAAACAAACAGTGGATACATGCAAACATGGTCACTGATTTATTCTTGCAGGCAAGACCTTATTCTCACAGTTCTAACCCATCTGCTTAAAAAAAATTGATAGAAATGGTTGCAACCATCCTTATCTGTCCCTACATTAACTTATTGAGAAAACATTTATAGGAGCATATACAAAATGCATTCTTAATCATACCAGTAGCAGGAGTAGGATTGCTCATCGTAAGAGTCCCGTATGTGATACCAGAAGGAAGAAGCTCATCAGATCCACGCTGAAAAGAAAATTGTAAATATATTTGATCCTCATTTAGGCATGGACATTTTGTTAAAAATACAATTTAAAAAGACATTAAAAGCAGTTAAACATAAATGAAATATCTTATTTTTATTCCGTTGTGTGTTGCATTATAAGATAATTAGGATACTGAGTTGAAAAAATATAATACATTATATGAACAGTACATAAAAGCAAATATTTCAGGAACAATACTTGCTAAATAGGTTCTACATTAATATATTTTTTCTATTTATTGGTTCACAATAGCTAACTGATCATAGCTCTATATTTTCAAACAACTGGCTACCCCAGCTACACATCTGTTACCACTTTCTCTTTTCATTGTTCACTTTGTTCAACTTCTATACATGATTAAGTCAGTCAAAACATTCCAGAACCATTCTTCTAGCAGTATGATGTATTTCAAAACTATTTTCTAAATTACTGAGATCATACTCTTTTTACCAATACATCTGATTGGGGATCACAGACACAATTGAAGACAAGCTAATGGACAACACTTCCATTTTTTTAAAAAAAACGAGATGTACAGGAGTATGGTAGAATTCTGACTCATTTGATTTACCATTTCTGCTAGCAACTTTTTCCAGTACAGTATATGCCAGTGATGGCGAACCTTTTTTGGCTCGCATGCCAAAAAATGGGGGGGGGGGAACTGCAGGGAGGGCGTGCATGGGCGTGCCACACCCATAATGCAATGCGCGACCCCAGCATGCATGCCCTCATAACCAGCACTCCTCCCCATTTTTTGCATGCTTTTTTCGCACTGCCCAAGCTCCAGAGGCTTTATATAAGTCTGGAGAGGGCGAAAACAACCTCTGCCGCTTTCCGGAGACCCTCCGGAGGCGTCAGGAGCTTCCCCGAAGCCTCCAGAGTGCAAAAATAAATGGCCCTATGGGCAAAATGGAAGTTCAGGAACAGACTTCTAGTTTGCTTGTAGGGCCAGTTTTAGACCTCTGGAGCCTTCAGAGGCCTTCCGGAGGCTTCCCTGAAGGCTCTGGAGGGCAAAAAATGCCCCCACAAGCAACCCAGATGTCACTTCCGGTTTGCTCATAGGGTCGTTTTTTGCCTTCCAGACCCTTAAGGGAAGCCTCCGGAAAGTCCCTGAAGGCTCTGGAGGGCTAAAACCAGCCCTACGAGCAAACCGGAAGTCTGTTCCTGAACTTTGGGTTTGCCCATAGGGCCAGTTTTTTTGTGCTCTGGAGGCTTCAGGGAAGCTCCTGAAGCCTCCAGAGGGCCTCCAGGGGGGAGGCTGTTTTCGCCCTCCCCAGGGTGCTATAAAGCCTCTGGAGCCTGGGGAGGGCGAAAAATGGCCTCAAAAAAAGGCTGGTCAGCTAGCCAGCCATACATGCGCGCTGGCCAGCTGACAGGGCAACGCCTCACGTGCTCTGAAAAATGGCTCCGCATGCCACCTGTGGCATATGTGCCATAGGTTCGCCATCCGGGGTATATGCACTACTAGCAGTAGATAGCTTACGGGAACTGCATATCCTATAAAACTGGATATACTATAAAAATAGGCACATCTACTTGATATAGCATGACAAAACATTACTATGATGTACAAAATATTGATCAATATCAAGTAGAGTGAGACGTAGCTATTGTTTATCACACAATTACTTTTTCTGTAAAAAAAACATTTCTTCAATATCTTGATGCATCAAAACTCAAAGCAAAACTTCAGAATTTTTTTAAAAAATATTTGCCAACGCTTTAGGGAAACAGAAACAATATATCATGTAACATCCCAGGTGATGAAATCTATTATACAATAATAAATCTAACTTCACATGCTATGGGAAAGGAAAATCAGCACAAGGGAATTACTTTTGTTTGTCAGTTCAGCTGCTGCTGTACTACTTATGTCATTAGTCATCTTTAATTCTTACGGATGTAAATATTAATAAAATACAGGACAGGCATTTCATGTTTTTAAAGACCTTATATGGCAGGGCTGTCAAACTCAAGGCCTGCAGACCGGATCCGGCCCATGAGGTGCTTAGATCTGGCCCATGGGACCACCCTGGAAACAGTGAAGGACCAGCCTGTGAAGCCTCTGCCAGCAAAAACAGTCTCCCAAAATCCGTTTTCACTTCGAGAGGATTGCAAGAGGCCGTCGCAGCTGAAAACAGAGCTCGGGAGACCATTTTTGCTGGCAGAGCACTCCAGGCCACCACAGGCACTGATATGAGTGACGTTGAGCTGGTCACACCCACGCTGGCCCCCCAAGGTCAAACACAAGCCTGATGACGCCGTCAATGAAATCGAGTTTGACACCAGTTATATGGAAAGGTTCAATGCTTGAAACTAAAATTACATATCCCAAATTCACCAAATTAAGTAGCAACAAACTGCAGTACGTGATATCTGTGATACCCATGTGAAAATTATGAATTGATTTTTATTACATATTATTAAATAAAAATTATAGGCATTCCTTAGCATTTCAGAGAAAATTAAGGCCATAATAAATTTGCTCTTGGAGGATGTCATTAAACTTAAAAAGGAAGAATCCAGTTTCACTTGTTATAATTAAAGGAGTGGGTCATTCAAAGTTTTTCCTCAAGGAAAACTGAGTAATAGCACCACAGAGAAGTCAAACAGTGTTATTTCTAATCATGTGTTAGCATCAATACACTTTCAAAAGATTTGGTAGAGTTATCTATTTGATCTCAATAAATTAAAGATGTTTGGGATAAAATCAGACTGTTTATTCAGCAATGGTATAGAAGTGACAACTGTAATTCCCATTAATGCACAGAAAAATATCTATAATCCTAAAATGATATATAAATGATTAAAAAAACATTGTTATATTATCAAAACAACTTTTAAAACTAAACTTAAAATGCATAATCATTTGCATCATGGCAATACTTTCAACCATAAAGGGCTCACCTTTGACTAAATTAAAGTACAGAGATTATTCTCAGACCACAGTAATTATTTTGATCAAAATCTTATCTGATGACAAGCATGACTTTGCTTTAAAAATCTAAATCCTAAGTGAACATACCATATTTTTCAGAGTATAAGACACACCTTTTTTCCTCAAGAGGCTAAAAATCTTGGGTGCATCTTATACACTGAATACAGTATTTTTTTGCCCCCCCCAAACCCCGCCCCTTCACCAAAATGGCCATGCAGAGCCTCTAGGAAGCTTTCAGAGAGCTCCTGGGGGTTGGGGAGGGCAGAAATGAGTGAAAAATGGCCCATGTTTTGCTTAACCCCCCCCCCCAAGAGTATTCTATAAGCTTCCTAAAGGCTATCCATGCCCCTTTTTGATAAAAAAACGGGCCCGTTTTTTGCCCCCACCCCCACCCCCCCCAGGAGCACTCTACAAGCCTCCTAAAGGGATTCAGGCCCTTTTTTTGAAAAACAAACCGGCAAACCCTCTTTTTTTAAAAAAAAAAAGCCTCTTCAAAATCTTGGTGCATCTTATATTCCGGTGCATCTGATACTCCGAAAAATACAGTACTTTGTTTTTTTAAAATATAACACTAATCATACAAATAAATAAAGGACAGGTGATATTTTTTGCCATGGTAGGTTTGATAAAATTCCTAATTTTGATTGCTAGACTCCTCTCTGGCCAGCTGCTTAAACTTTGTCTTGGTTAATAATTCTCAATAAATACATTATTGCCATATTTTATAGTACTACTTATTATATCGTAAGTATGCATTTTTATTAAGAGTCTTCAAAGTGGTGATTTCTGTCCAGTCTGCAGACAGAAAGCTTCAGCTTTCATGTTTGGATATATCTGTAAGATTTATAGAATTTAGATACAAAATTTCAAATTTATAATCAGCATATGAGACTTCTAAAATCTTCCACAACAATAAGAGTGAGTAATATAGTGAATGCCCTCCTTTTAGCAACCTGTATTTTCTCTATTCTGTCTGGAATGTGGCAGGAGTCCCTTATATAACGATGCAACTGCTACACATCCATTTGGCTGGGAAACACAACAATTAATAACAGTGGAAGGTCAAATGGTTGCCCGCTGAAGTTAACCAGAAAAGCTGAAGTTTTAAGAAAATTATTTTTCCCCACTGCAAAATAGAATGGATTTAAATCTGCCTGAAGAAAGTTGTTTTAAATGAGATTAACCCTAACTTTTCCATTGATACATTATATGTCTCCTTAATCTTCAGTCATCATGCACAAGTCAGCATTTCAAAGAATTATAGTTTAGCATTATTTGCATACATAGCTATAGATAATTTCTTGGCCTACAGTAATTATACCAGCAATCTGCAAACATACTAGTTTTCTTTTGTTTTCCAATGTTTGCCCACTTTTGTTTAGTTCTATCTTGGCCCATCCTTCTTCTCACATATACAGGCAAAACAAACAAAACTGAATGAGCATCACTGATAGTCAAAGTAATGTCTGAATTATTTAATGAATTATTTAAATTCATTTCTGTAGTTTTTTTTAAAAAAATGAGAGTTTGAAAGCCAATTAAGGATAGAGAATTTCCTGATCTATCATAAAAAGCAGTCACTGACAATATGACTAATGGTAAAGAACACTGGGATTTATTATGTAATCACAAGCCTACTAAGCTTAAAAACCCTCATAAAATATTGCTATTTGAAGAACAATTAAGCTGGTCATAGAAGACCCTCTTATAATTCAATTTATTTAGCAAAATTATTGATTTTATAGAGCATTAATTGTGAGGATACTATACTAACATTTCCAGATTTAATAAAATACATATTGTTTGCAAAATGTTATTTTTAATTGAAAGAAATCCAATTTAAAATGAACTATTATTATTTGTTACCAAAGAAAAAAGTCTGTTGCAAAGTTGCTAATAAATGAGAGATCCCTATTTATATTTGAAGAAGCAGTTGACTTTAATACTCAAGCCATTCGTAAGCAGCACCATAAAATCTACGTGGGCTGAAATCTGCCACACACATATACACAATACTAGCTTGATATTAGCTTTACCAAACAATAATTTGTTTAATATTGAACAAAGA